GTAAAGATCACAGATTGTGGACTTGTTGGTAAAAATCACAGATTCTGGACATGCTGGTAAAGATCACAGATTGTGGACATTGTGGTAAAGATCACAGATTGTGGACATGAGTATAAAGATCATAGATTGTGGACATGCTAATAAAAATTAGAGATTGTGGACATGCTGGTAAAGATCACAGAGTGTGTACATGCTTATAAAGATCATATATTGTTGACATGCTAACAACAATCAGAGATTGTGGACACGCTTATGAAGATCACAGATTGTGGACATGCTGGTAAAGATCACAGATTGTGGACATGCTGATAAAGATCACAGATTGTTGACATGCTGATAAAGATAACAGATTTTGGACATGCTGATAAAGATCACAGATTGTGGACATACATGTTCCCCACGCCATTTAACACGACATTTTATGATGGTAATAACAGAGCGTTGATCGATCAGTGATGAAAAAAAAACTCGTGAAATAAAAATCGCCTCGTGAAAACCAAAGAGAGCCAACACCTATTTCCGGTTGGTTTGCAAGCTACTTATAAAATAAATAGAAGTAGTTTAAAATTTCAACTTAATCATCATCATCATCATCATCATCATCCTCATAAAGTGTCTTGCTGACTGGCGCGGGCGATCATTCCTCTCCACAATCTACAATCTCCTACAGCATGTATCAGTTCGTGTGCTGACACATCTCCATGCCATGCAACAAGACTTTCAAGAATCTTTTCTCGTTGTCTTCCTCTATGCTTCCTTCCACAGATCTTTCTAGGGGTCAAAACCTGTTCCATTTTCCCTCTTCTCCGGATTCCTGTCTTTTTGTGATAATTTGTCTTCGGGCTCCCGCCTGTTTCAACACTTTTCGCTTGCTCTTGTTGGCTGTCAGAGGTATTTTATGCATGTATTAAAACTGGATGTGTGTGGCAAGCAAGGATTGTTATTCGATTATGCCCCTTATTCGCACCAGGAGAGACGGCTAAATAGCTTTCACATGCGATGCCTAAGAAGAATACTTGGCATTATGTGGCAGGACAAGATAACAAACACTGAGATATTGGAAAGGGCAGGTTTTGGTAAGGTTTTATCAATGCTCAGTCTACGAAAGCACAGATGGCTGGGGTCCGTCTCGAGGGTGGAGGGCGACAGATGTCTAGGCCGACCTCTACTAGAATATAAAGACCATTTGCAAGCGGGACATCAATGATACAGGTATTGATGCGGACATTGGGAACAAAATGCCAATGACAGTGTTGCGTGGAGGGGACACATCAGGAAAGGACTGAGACTGAGGGAAGAAAGAACTGCAAACAGGCTGAGAGCTGAGCGTATGAGAAGAAACAGTAAAAGTAAAGTAAAGATCACTTTTCACGCCTTAGACGCATCGGGTATATGGGAAGAGAGTCCCATATTTTTACAGACCAATCGGCACTGGATGGGTAATGTGGTCAGCATTACGCCTGCCGTCTTTACTTTCCCAGGACAGCCATCCTGGTACCCATTTTAGGCTGGGTCGACCTGCGACGCCCCATACCATGGTAAAAATCCACGCAGCCAGCAGTGGGTTTCGATCGCGGTACGTTGGATTACGAGTCGGACTCGCAACTCCTAAGCCACGGACGCCGAGAGAAGAAACAGACTCAACACAAATGTTGACAATAATGGTCCTGAAATCCTATGCTATAATTGTGGAACTTTTCTTAACGCGGGCGGGTCTTACCAATCACACTTGCCATCGCCAGGGACTAGTAGTCATTTGCCTCCTCACAGAACAGTATAACACACCTCTTTCTTGCTCTCCTCCTTATTCTCGACTCTCGTTTTCTTCTTCTTCTTTTTTTTCTTTATCTTCTTCTTCTTCTTCTTCTTCTTCTTCTTCTTCTTCTTCTTCTTCTTCTTCTTCTTCTTCTTCTTCTTCTTCTTCTTCTTCTTCTTCTTCTTCTTCTATTTCTTCTTCTTCTTCTTCTTCTTCTTCTTCTTCTTCTTCTTCTTCTTCTTCTTCTTCTTCTTCTTCTTCTTCTTCTTCTTCTTCTTCTTCTTCTTCTTCTTCGTCTTCTTCTTTTCCTTCTTCTTTAACTACACCTACTACAACCACTACAACAACTGATGCTGCTGCTGCTAATACTGCTACATCTTCTCATTTTATTTTTCCTTTTCTTCTTCTTTCCTATTCTTAGCATCTTTGTATGTGTATGTATGGGCCTGGCATGAGTTGTTCTTACACCTACCAGTTAGAAGCTGGTTTTAAAATTGCATCAAACATACGAACGTGCGTACGAAAATCCAAGAAAATAAAAGCAAACTCAAACACATACATACAGCAAGATAGATAGATAAATGGACAGACAGACACAAAGACAGAGAGAGAGAGAGAGAGAGAGAGAGAGAGAGGGAGAGAGAGAGAGAGAGAGAGAGAGAGAGAGACTGAGGGACAGACGGACAGAAAGACAGATATAGAGACAGAGAGATAGACAGACAAACAGATAGCGAGAAAAATGGGAGAAGAGAGATAACACGCGAGAGGATGTCGGAGAAAGAGAGAGAGAGAGAGAGAGAGAGAGAACGGAGGATGCATATGTGGCCAATGCGTCATTTAGCCAGGTAATAAGTCTGCTTTATTTGTATAAATAATGCACACGATAATATCGACGCATTTTTCTTTTGACAGTGCGTCTGTGAGAGGACTTACAGCATTTGCAGAGAACCCAGGATATTCACTGATCCCCCGGCTAGATTACCCCCTCCAACAATTGATGTAAGTTAAATAAAATAAGTAAAGGACCCTTTTCCGCACCTTTTAGACGTATAGGGCATATAGGGCTAGACCTATATTTTATATGCCAATTAGCACAGGATGGGTGATGTGGTTAGCATCACACCGGCCGCCATTACTTCCCGGGACTGCACCCGGTACCCACTCAAGGCTGGGTCGACCAAGGTAATTTTTGGAAAAAACTCTGGCTCTGTCAGTGAGCAAACCCACGACCTTCCGATTTGCGACGCACGTCTAACCTCTTTGCCCCAGCAACTTCCATGGCATAGATGTTCCCTGGTTTATTCTTATTGCTTTTCCTTAATCTCTGCATACACTTTTGCAAACTTCATTGAGGTGTTTGTTCACTTGCTCCATATCTAACTGTTAGGCTACTCTTTTCGATTTCCAACTGCCAAGGACTATTTTTACTTGCGCCACAATGCACATGGGCGTCCCATCTCAGTACCCAGAAACCAGGGGGAACTACTATGTCCAAGTCTACGTAAAGAAAATATACCAGCCCTTACCAGAACCTCTAGCACTCGAGGCCACGCAGCCCACAGGTAAGATATAAAAGAAAAAGGATTGAATTGTATGGAACAACCTAAACTGGCCCAGACTGCCTAACTATCCCTTTTTAGTAGTGGATATTGTAAAATTGTCACAAATGCAAACCAAAATAACGATACCCAAGGTGAAAATAATATAAAATGGGCAAAAGCTATAGATTATAAAATATACCACACTGGTGCCTATTTAAGGCTGGGTCGACTTGAATGCTAGAGTCATTCATTTAGGGTATAAACCCATGGCCAACCGATCGACATGTGAGCGTTATGGCCACTATACCAGGACGGCTCCCTTGGGTGTATATGTGTACATACATTTACATGTGTGTATATGCAAGCACGTATACGTGCATTCCCACGTGGGCGTGTACGCTTGTAGGTATAAATACATGTTTACGTATGCAAATACGTATAAGTACATTCCCACTCGGGCCTGCAGACGTGTATGTTATGTATATATACGTAATTGTACATGTGTATATATAAGTGTGTGTGTGGGTGTGTATAGTGCTTACCAGCCCTCTCCGCAATAAACCTCGCTAGGTATTTGTGTACCCCACTAGTTTTTGTGCAATTAACATGTCTAAGACAACATGACTGGCGCACACAAACCAGACCACAATTATAACCGATCATGCTAGCAGTAGGTTGAACGTAGTCACATTTTTTTTCATAAATTGTTGGATGAATTAGTTTCTGCTAAATTATGCTTTTAGTGAAGTCTCGGTATCTGAACCGATATTACTCAGCTCTTAAGATTAGGTAATGATAGGCTCCAATTCTCTGCAAGATGACATCAACAATTGGTCTGAGTTCTCAGATCCACCCAACAATATATCAGCACTGGAATTGTGAATGTAGGTTGTCACTGAATCGAGGTTCTAAATTTTATGAAGATGGATATTCTAATTAGTGCTACATTCCTATGCCACTAAAAATCGCACAAAATATATTTCACTTTCCTGTTTAAAAACCCACACACTCATACACACATACACACATACACTCACACATTCAAACACCCTAAAAAAGATACATCACAATTAGTAAACAATTTCAGTCCCTGTAATAATCGTCAGGTTCACACAAATAATGTTAGTTTATAACGCAGTCGTTAGATGTGCTAATACAAGCTGTATCCCACCAGAATTGCGATTACAGTTCAGTGGTATTGAGGAAATCAGCAGATCATGAGAGTTCACCTTATTTTTATGGGGGGTCCACGTAATACAGAATGGAAGTGTGGAAGTAAATGAGGTCAGTGTGCAGCTTTCTAGTGATGACTTTTACAAAACTGACATCTTTATCTGCAGCTGAGTAAGGCTGAAGTTCTACCCGGCGGGGTGCTGCCAGGCAACATAACAGAGATCAACTTGGGAAATAGCCCCATCAAGTCAATAACTGACGACGCCTTTGATGATTCAGCATACACTTTAACAAGCGTCTCATTCAGCACTTCTCTGTTGACAAGAATACCGGATGCGTTGCTTCATCTACACGTCCTCAATTATTTAAGCATCGATGACACAAATATCCTGGACTGGAACCCAAACGTCATGACCAGCATTGGCCCGTCTGTGACGGTGCTCTTCCTCACCAGTGTTGGTATAAAAGTGTGGCCGTCTTGGATGAGATCTTTCACTAATGTTACGACATTAAGCTTTGGTGGAAGCGCCATGTCTTCAATCCCTGATGATGCTTTCGAAACGATGCATCATTTAACCAGTTTGACTTTGGACGGTAACAAACTGTCAGTGGTTCCGAAAGCACTATCAGGAATTACTACACTGCAGTCGTTAGACATAAGTAATTGCTTTATATCAGACATTACATGGCTTCCTAAGTCAAGTTTGCTAACTTCTTTATCATTAGGGGGAAACAAGCTGTCAAATGCCACACATGTTAGTAATGCACTGCTTCCTTATGCCAAATCGTTGAGTGAAGTTGACTTTCATGATAACCAACTGACCTCTATACCAGATTTACATTTCTTAGCTGTAGGTTACTCCTTAAACTTGGCTGGTAACTTGTTGAGCAATATAAAAACCACCACATTCCCAACGAAACTCGATGAAATTGATTTGACATCTAACTTGTTTTCTTTTATCCCCAGTTTTATGTCCACATTGCTCTTTGTGTCCACTTTATCCATGTCATCGAATCACGTCACGGCCCTTCGCTCTACTGATTTCATTTCAAATATTCTCTACATCCAACTTGATAGAAATCTCATTACAGAGCTAGCCGACACAAGCTTTCCAGATAATTGCAGTATCATTTCTTTGGTTCTTGATTACAATCCCCTAACTGCAATTTCACCTTCTGCGTTCAAAAGTTTAATAAACCTGACCTACATGAGCTTACAAAACAGCCATCTGACTCGGCTACCGCTGGCTTTGGCTTCCCTCAAGAAACTGAACACGTTTGATATCTCTGGCAGTCAATACCTGGTCTGTACGTGCATGGAAAAAGACCTTGCACATTGGGTTGTATCCACGATGTCTGAATACTCTGTAAATGGGAATTGTGGTAATACCAGCATTTACGATTTCTTTAAGTTTTTAAGTCCTGGTTGTCCAGTTCCGTAAATATCTTTTAGAGGACATACACTATCGTGAAATGTTTCAGCATTGCCAGCTAAAACAGGATTCTAAACCAGGCTGATGCTCTTGGCTTGCCCCATCCATAGGGCTAAAACATTTAGATATTCAACAGTGTGCCTGCTTCTTGGAAAAAATAACAAACTTGGGTAATAATACACATTGACAAAAAATACATCTGTATTCATTGTTCATACGTTCTAATTGAATGGGTAAAAAAAATTGAGTCAATCATCGTAAGCTATTTTATTGAGTGTGACTCAGTCTTTCTATGCAAATCACGACACCCGAAGCCACGTTATATATCAAATGCTTGAATACTATTTCACTATACACTACACGCAATATATGTGAAAAGTCCCCATGTGGGATGCAGATTTTTTTTATTTGAAGCCTCACCCTTAAGCCCCGAATATAGCTAGAGCAATGAAATTGCCTATTCATAGATTTTGCAGAGCCATAGATATGGCCTTACGGCTGAAAGAAGCTTCTGGGACCTCTCCAGGGGTCATCCTTATCCGCATGGTGGCACTTTGTGTCACCGGGTGTTTATCGTTTGTATGATGTCCTGGTGGGGTAAAAATTACCTACCTGCCACTACATGCCAAATTGAAAGATACAAGTGTTTAAGATTTAACGTATGTTTTTGCAAGATTTATTGCTAAACCAAGTGATATAATTTTTGTAAAGAAAGTACTCTGAGAGCATCATCATCATTCAGCAGGTCCTTTGCAGAACGTCGCTCTCATCACGGTCTGCCTGAAAGAAACGCCGTCTCTCGCCAGCTCTCCCACCTCATGTACGATTATACTCAAGGAGTCACTTATATTATGTGCCTATCTTTGTGTCGGTCGGCCTCTGCTCCTCCTTCCTGGTACCATGCCTTCTTTTAAAATTCTTTCCAATCCGTCGTGGCGCTTGATGTGACCAAAATATTTCAGCTTCAGAGACAGGATGCTGTTTATTAGCCATTCTTCCTTGATGTTAAGATCTTTCAATTTAACGTATGTTTTTGCAAGATTTATTGCTAAACCAAGTGATATAATTTTTGTAAAGAAAGTACTCTGAGAGCATCATCATCATTCAGAATTTCATTGCTCTAGCTATATTCGGGGCTTAAGGGTGAGGCTTCAAATAAAAAAAATCTGCATCCCACATGGGGACTTTTCACATATATTGCGTGTAGTGTATAGTGAAATAGTATTCAAGCATTTGATATATAACGTGGCTTCGGGTGTCGTGATTTGCATAGAAAGACTGAGTCACACTCAATAAAATAGCTTACGATGATTGACTGCGTAGCGAAGTTCTGGGATAGGGTTACCACTAATTTTGAGCGGATCATAATTGTCGAAAGTCTGGTCATTTAATATATTTCTTATTATATGTTTTGCGCATTTATTGAATACGTATGGTGACAGAATGCACACCGACTTCACTCCCTTTTGTAGTTTGAACTAATCCTATGTTTCACCAGCTGCTCTGATGGCTGCTTGTTGTTCATGATAAAGATTTTCAATTAAATGCACTAAATGCGCTGGAAACCCCATACCTCATAATATTCTACAATTTCTGATCTTGGACACAATCAAATGCCTTGCTATAATCAATAAAACATACATGAAATCTAGGTTGTATTTTCATCATTTTTCAAAAGTTATTCTCATATTAAAGATGTGATCCTTAGTTCCTCTACCCTGTCTGAAACCCACGTGTGCTTCCTGTAGCTCATATTGTAATTTCCTTTAAATCCTCTTTATGATAATTCGTAATTGCAATGGTACCTTGGTTGGAGCATAGTTTCAGATTTCCTTTCTTTGGGAGATGGATGTAGATGGTTCTTTTCCACGTTTTAGGCCAAATGCCACTGTTCCAGATTTTCGTGCACAGTGCATGTTAGATTTATACGCTGGTCTCTCCTCCTGCTTGAATAAGTTATGCTGGTATTTCGTCAACCTGATGACTTTCCTTTCTTCAGGCTGTGTACTGTTGATCGTACCTCATCCAGAGAGCATTCTAGAGTTTGAAATTAATATCTATCTAGTGTCAGTACAGAAAAGGGTGCTGTCATCAACTCAGGCTGATTTATGGTGCTGTTGGGCAAAAGAATTGAGAGAGCTAATATTCTAAGCCGTCCAGTTAGTGATAGAAACATAAAAAGAGAAGGCAAACTGAGGTAGTTGGCTATCGTTCTCAAAAAAAGAGGCTTGCGACGAAACAGTAACTTAAACAACTGGCCAAAGCAGCAGAAAGGACTTCGAGCTGGCCCTGGACGCAACGGAACGTCGTGGGGAATGGGCCTTGATTGACTGGTCCAAGCCCCTAAGGAGAGGAACTTCTCATGTTTAAAAAGCCAAAGTGCCTGAGATGTGTCTGCCGTTGTCTCCCTGCCAAATGCCAGTCTAACATTTGTCCGATGACCTAACCGTAAGCTTGTGACGCTGGTTCTCAAGGAAAAATGATAAAGTGCCGCCGCAGCGACAAAAAATATAACCGCACATCTTACAATACATGTTGTAAAGTCACTATATCGTCTTGACCCTATCCGAGAGTCTGATTAAGTGCAGCAGGGGAAGATCGAGGCCTAGCTTTATGAACCAGGTTGGCCCACCTGCCGAGATCGTATAGGAAGTAATTGGCCTTCAGAAAAAAGATTGAGTGTTCTAATCGATTCCCAAGAAAACAAATTTCATTTTTCTATTAGCGTATACTACATTGATGCGCTTGTATACGAAAATGTATATACTGCCTAATACTACGATATGTAAATACAAATTCAAATAGACGAAATGAATGGACATTTAACCTTATTCTATCTTCCTGAACAGAATCGAGTGCCTATTAGGATGGTACTGAGAAAGAAGAAGGAGATTATGCTTGGCTTTTATAAAAAAAAATCTGTCCACATAAATTTGCTTCTGCCTCCTCCTTAGGATGCATGGGAAATGTGACATTGTCTGATCCTTCCAGATAATGTTGTTACGGCTTGTTTGAGCTTTGTTGGGATAATAATTATCCTCAGATCATTGGCATCTATCAGTGGCTTTGTGTCGAGAAAGATAAAAAAGAAATAGCCAGAACAGCCAGAACTTTCCGCGGGAGTTTACAGCTGGTGAACGCGAAGCAGAAGAAGAGGCTGTAAATGATCTTGAGGTGGACTTGGCAGATTGTTGACATGGTGAAATAGTATAGTCCACACATGCTCAGTAAGGTTTATGTTCAGATAACACTGCTGTCCTTTGACGAAAAACATTAATTTTGTTCTGCAAGAGAAGTGCACTAGTTATTCGTGATCGACGAGGGTCTGCAATATCGTGCATCATTGATCAAATCAAGTGGGCAGTGCAACCTAACAGATCAAGTATCCATACATTGTCAGACGAATTCCGCAGTAGGTAAGCAGATTGTATGGAAGATATTCAACAAGCAGTGGAAAGCATTGGTGGACTTTTAATCAGGTTGCGTACTATCGACTATTCTCTGGCTACTGAGAAAAGGGACATAGGTTTCCGGTTCCGGTTTCAAGATGGAGGGATATTTTCCTTCAAGCTTGTCTCCAGTCCGTTGATCGGTAGCCTAACAAGCCGCCATCGTAAAACATCCACTGTTTCAGAAACAGATTTCTAGCTTTAAACGTCATGTCGTTTCGTTCTAATTTGTTGAATGCCACCGATGTTTTTAAAATTGGATATTGGAACGTTAGAATTATGTACCAGACAGGGAAAACAGCACAAGTGTGTAGTGTTATGAATGATTTCAATCCGGATATCCTCGGTGTTAGCGAATGTAGATGGACCAACTCGGGTAAAACGTTCCTTACTAATGAACAAAAACACATAGTTTATTCGGGGAGAACTGATAACCAACATTCAGGCGGTGTCGCGATTATTATGTCACCTAGAACAGAAAGATCACTCGTCAGCTGGGAACCGGTCAATGAAAGAATTATAGCAGCACGCTTCCAATCCAGGTATTTCAAACTATCAGTCATACAATGCTATGCACCTACAAATGATGATACTGACTTCAACAAAGACACCTTCTATAACGTATTAATTGACACCATCAACAAAACACCTAAACAAGACATCACTGTTGTGATGGGCGATTTCAACGCCAAGGTTGGAGATGACAACAGCGGTGTTGAAAGATACATGGGAGCGCATGGTATAGGGAGCATGAACCAGAATGGCGAAAGACTACTCGAGTTATGTGAAATTGCTAATCTGTTAATAGCAAATACCACCTTCCCACATAAAGATATTCATAAATCCACCTGGATTTCCCCTGACAATCACACTGAAAATCAGATAGACCACTTTTGCATAAATACCAAATTCCGCTCGTCAGTTCGGGATGTCAGAGCATATCGAGGAGCAGACGTTGGCAGCGATCACAACCTCTGCATAGCCAAACTAAAGATGAAGCTCAAGAAACTACATAAAACATTTACAAGCAAGAAAATAGATTCACAGTCTCTGTTGTCAAACCAACATCAATTCACATTTAACTCTGGGATACAAAACAACTACGTACAAACCTTAACTAACAAAAATAATGTTGAATACAGCATAGAACAAAAATGGAGCTTCTTTAGAGACACCTTCAAGGAAGCCGCAGTCAACACAGTTGGTTACATGCAAAGAAAGAAGAAGAACAATGGCTGAGTGAAAACACTTGGATAAAAATTCAGGAAAGAAAACAGGCCAAATTATCCCTTTTATCTACAAAAGACACATCTGTATATGAAAAAGTCAAACAAAGGTACACCTTGTTAGATAAAGAAGTGAAACATAGTGCACGGAAAGATAAACAAGATTTCATACACAACCTAGCTTGCGATGCTGAAACGGCTGCCAGAACTGGGAACAATAAAGCTGTATTCCACATCATGATACAGCTGTGCAACCATACACCTACAGCAAACGCACCCATCAAAGACAAACAGGGTAAATTATTATTATCTGAAGAACAACAAAAGCAACGAT